GGATCGTTACTCACACTTGAGTGTGGCTCCAACGATAACGTGTACAGCTGCCCGTAGAACCCCTCAATCTCATTCAAAATCTCAGGTGTCCCGGAAACGATGCTGCCACACTCGGTCTTCAGCTTTGACAGTTAGGTCTTTCTGGCAGACAGATCTCTGGCAAAGAATTTGGAGCCTTGGTTCTGCTCGATCGCTTCTTCAATATAAGCTGTATTGAAGTGGCGTAAGTCCCGCCCCATGCATTTGGAGATCTGTCTGTTCAGTTGCCTGTATGCTGTCAAATCTGTTGAAGACTGTAGCTTCATCTCCCGTCTAACGAGTGTCTAAGAGATTAAGAGTGTGATCGGAGAGTTTTTGTGTTCTACTGCAGCGGGTCTTGCTGAACTTAGCTCCGACCGCATGGACTGTTTCAACGAGCTTGTCATTCATATCGTCCACTTCATTGCAGTCTTCTAGGCACTGAAAACGGTTTTGTAACTCGAGCTGAACGGTTTCGGGACTTTGGAATAGAGCACGAGGGGGACGGATCGTTGACTTCATTAGACGAGACCTCTCCAACTTAACGTTTAGGTTCAGTGTGCCTCTAACTATTCGGTGATCGCTACCAGTTTTCACCCTTTGCGATCACGGAGACATCACTGAACAGTTGTCGTCTGGTCGTCATAATGAAGTCAATCTCATTTTTTGTCGAACCGTCAGGGCTCGACCAGGTCCACTTCCAGTGGGACCACTTCTGTAAGAAAGAGTTCATCATAAAGAGTCCCTCTTTCTCCATGAAGTCGGCCAGCTGCTGGCACCTTGGGTTCCGTTGCCCTATTCCAAATTTCCCTACTTTCAGCTCACCGTTCTCTCTTGTGACTAGTTTTGCATTGAAGTCTCCCATTAACACCGTATAGTGGGTTTTGGAGGAATGCATGGCACTAGAGATATCCTCATACATTTCCTCCACCTCCTCATCGGGATGTGCCGAGGTTGGTGCGTAAACCTGTATGACCTTCAGCGAATACCGTTTGGTGATTCTGAGCATAAGGTGCGCAACCCTCGTCGACACACTCTCAATCTTTACAACGTCGTTAATGAGAGACTTGTGAACGATAAATCCGACACCTCCTTGGGATAGATGGTCGCCCTCCCGGTGTGATAGAGCAAGTTGTCGGATTCGAGAATTACCGTGGCCTCCCCTCTCTTCGGACCTCGGATAATCCTATAATATGCCAACGTAACTTGTCTATCTCTTCTTCCAGCTCCACGATCTTCTCGTCAGTCCTCAGGGTGCGTGCGTTGTATGTTGCCAGGTCGAGTCGTCTTAGGTGGCAACCGAACCTCCACCGGAGATTCTTAGCACCCCTTGCCCCTCCGTTACCATGGTCGCCACCGTAGCAGGAATAGCGGGACCGCCGGGGACTGGGGGCCGTCTCTTTATTACTCTCATCATGAGGGGGTATTTGCCATAGTTGCCACGCTTGGCGAGCGAGTTGGCAACCGCAGTTTTTTTTATTGTAATTATGATGTTATCAGGAAGATGCTGCTGCCTATCTCCATGGAGCTGCTTACAATCTACCGAGTGATGATAAAGTTATCACATTAAATGAAAAGACGTATTCTACATAAATTTCTTTAAACATACATAACTAAAAAAATATATAACAATTAATATTTTTGTCGCGGTAACATTTTTTTCGTTTTAATATTAAATAACATCATGTAAATGCATACAGATATCACCTGATGAATACTAGAAGGTCAAAGACCCATGGCATTTGATGGCGATATACGTAGTTTAAACGTTGCCAATTTTAATTACTCAAATAAAGAAAAAATGTACTTACGTCTAACAATTTAAGGCATAATTTTATAAATCGCGCGAAATCAAAAACAAAGGGACCTGCGGGTGTGTGAAAACAAAGTCAAGCGAATAATTTACTTAAAATAAATGACTTATGGCATAATTCTCCATGCGCGAAGTGACAAGAAATGGGACGGAGTGTGGAAACTTAGAGACGTTGCCGCTTTTACAGGTCACTTCAGGTCAGTAAACTAATATTAACAAAGTGATTTATTTCTTGTCAATTTTTACGCTATTTATTTTGTTTGAAAAATGCATTTTTTATTTTCTTTTATTATTTTAACAGACATATATCAACTTGTATTAACTGCTGTGCTTTTTAACGTGATAACCTAGGCGCCACCCAGTATACAAAATAAAAATTGAAGTGTCTGTTTGTAATGTTAAAATAACAGCTTTTTACTAAATGCATATGAAAGTATAAACGATACTTATAACAAAAACACAATTTTAAACATTTTTGTCTGTCTCTCTGTTTGTTCCGGCTAATCTCCGAAACGGCTGGACCGATTTCGACGGGACTTTCACTGGTTAAGTAGTAGAAAAGGTAAAAAGATATTTTTTTCTCTTAATACATAATTACTGACATTAAAGACATGATTCTGATATTCATACCATAGTGGTGCCGACAGTAACTCCGCCAGCGACAGCGGCTGCATCACGAAACACGGAACGCCGTGGCATAGGAGTGACAATAATCTTCGGTGGATGGGCTGGGGCATGTTGTTGTGCGCGTGAGTAACGGGAATTCCTGATCGTAAATCACAATTTTTTTAAAATTATATTACAAAACCCCTTAAACCTTTGTCGCCTTCATGGAAATTAATAACAGCTATCATTTTAAAAATACAATACAGTGTGTGTTTAATTTACGAGCACAAACACAAGCACACTTAAATTATATGTAAGCATACAAGCGTCACGATTGTTTAAAAGGGAAAAACAACTAGTATAACTATCTATTTTCCATAATTTACTAGTACAGAGGTAACCTCTGTAATAAGTACCTTTGAGAGATCGCAATCATTTTACTGGATATGAGGCATTCCATCTTAGTCCTTAGGGGGTGACAACGCATCTGCATTTTGATCCGCATCTGTATCCACTTCCCATCAGGTGGACTGTGTATTCATTTGTCACACTTATTCTACAAAAAATATACAATAAAGTTCTTTGAAGTCCGCTTTTACACTTCGACTCAAATCGACTGTTTGTTTTTTGTGTGTTACCTCATAACTTTTTCTAGGTGAACCGATTTTAATGATCCTTTTTATTATTTGAAAGCTGGTGCTTCTAATATGGTCGCATATAAATTTGATCAAGGTCTAACAAGTAGTTTTTGAGTTATTCTTAATAATTTATAATGAAGTCGAGTGTACAAAATTTTCAATTTTACTTCTTGTTATTGTTTAGTTTTTATATCTACTTCTTGCCTCTGTCTTAGCCGTGGATGGACAATCTAGTAGACAATGCTTTAGACATTATGCTGGCCTGTGTACTGCCTGTGTGTACAACATGTGTACCTAATATTATCCTAAAATAAGGAAATAAATAAATATATGCATGTCCCGTTGTAAGTTCTTTATGCAGGGTGATACTAATAATGAATAATTTAAAATTTTGTACAGCCGACTTCAATATTAGTTATGAAGAATAACTCAAAAACTATTGGTCCGACCTTGATCAAATTCATATGGGACCACACGAGAAGTACCAGCTTTCAAATAAAGAAAGAATCATCGAAATCGGTTCACCCAGTAAAAGTTATGAGGTAAGACACATAAAAAAACATACAGTCGAATTGAGTACCGTCTCCTTTTTGGAAGTCTGCAGAAAAGTAGAAATAAATTGAAAAATAAATGTAACTCAACATAGAAGTTACAAAGAAGTTTACTGTCGTTGCTCATAACAACCCATGGACACCTGCAACTACCTCAAATAAACACTTAGATACAAAGGGGTAAGATGCCTCGAAAGTCTTTAGTATTTAACACCTTGTAACAAAAGAGAAAACAAATAAAATGTCAAAGTGAACATTCCTCATCATTTCAGTTAAATGAAAACTTTTTTTATCGATATCACAAAGCTGTGCAGTGATCACAATATTTGGAAATATCTATTTCATGACAAATTTTATGGTATTATCTACAAAACTACTTTAAAAGTCCAATGATGGCATCCACGACTTTTATGCCACCAGGGCGGCGCCACTTTGGAGTGAGGTGAATTATTTGATAGATTTCATAGCAGGGAAATTTGTTACGAAAATGTAAGGGTTAATGTTTCTTTCTTAGTTATATTTTATATTAATTAGATTAGAAATTAATAAACCAAATTAGGGATATTCTTAAAAGTAGAAAAATTGAAAATGGAGTTAAAAATGTGCATTAAAATAAAGAGCAAACCACTTAGGAATAGTTTTGTGTATTAATATAATATTCTAAAAACTGATTGAGATTGAGTTAGTTTTAAATAAAACTGACCTTTATTTAAAACTAACTTCTCGATTAAATTACATGATGTAACAAAAAACTTCATCTCAGATCCAACTAGCGACATCTGGTGAGCATAAGATATGAATCCCATAAAATTCAAACATTTTGAATAGGCACCGTCTGTAAAACTTAGCTGAACTTTTATGATTTATTGAACAAAAACCAGAATTTCATTTTAAACTAATTAAAGTGAGCACCATACTAATCAGTTTTGTATCACTTCATTACTATAATTATAGAATTCTGGGACTTTTGAATTGATTATGGTATAATATACCATTGCACTAAGATGTAAAATAAAACATTCATTTATTTAGTTTGCTGATTATATTTATTTATAATTTAACATTCTACCATCTTTGCAATATAATTAAATAACTGACATTAAATTTGTATATCTACATCACATAATGTCACCTTAAATAAAATATATTTAACATTATTACACAAAATTTTACTACTACATCATTTTAATGTTTTATTGAATTGTCTTTGAAGTAGGCAAAGAGAAGCTAAAAGAATAATAAAGAAAGACTCCTGACAGTTTCTAGAAATCTTAAATGGACTAAACATTTTTAATTGTCTCTTTATAAGGAATGAAGCATGAACAAAATCATTCTTGTAGTCATCAGGGCCTTCCCAACTATTGCATTTATTATTTATAAGTGGTTGTTGACTTTGCACTGGCGCAAAGCCTCATTGAAACCCTCGCACAGAGACAAGTCATGCTGTTGCTGAGCGCACTCAATAAACTGCTTAATCTCCCAGGCGCATGGACCCTGTGGCTGTTGTCCTTGGCTGTAAGAAGATTGAACAGGAGCTGGTTGCTGCTGCTGCTGCACTGAGTCACTGCTACCACCACCACCAAACAATCCCGTTAGAGCGCTACCAGCCACGTGTCCCTGTAAAAAAATTTATGAAAACTTCACCAACAAAGAAATGTGCTAGGCTAAACACAAAACAAAGTTTTAAAATATTTATACAAATACATAATATAAATACCTATATATTTGTCATGAGAAAATATGAAAAATATGTGATGATAGAACATGGAACCTGGTGCAAAGATAATTTAGTTATTTGAAGTCAGCTTTTACTTTTTATTAAAAGGTATAATAATATCCACTACCCTATACCATACTGTGGTTGTCGTAAGAAGCGACAGGGACAAACAAATCAGATAGGCAGCAGTGTCTTCCTATTAGTATACTAGCTGTGCCCCGCGGTTTCACCCGCATATATCACGCGTCTGCGCCTCGCGACATGCGAACTTCGAGAGAGATATCACGACAGACAGTTGCTGAATTAACTAAGATTTAAAAAATGAAATATGTTATTAAAATTACATGGTTAACATAATTGGTGGTTATGCATGATACACTGTTATGTACTGATCAAGCCTTGAATACGAAATGATTTATTTGGATACAAGGTAAGAATAATGTGGCCTAGTTTGTACCGGCGTTACTATTGCATATTTTAACATGAAAAAGTAGTTATTGTGACATAACCGTAATAATTAAACATATTATATTGCAGACTTTTTTGTACATATTGATGTCCTCTATAAAACTGTAGTTTTGCTCTATTGTCAATAGTTTCCGCAGTGTACGCGATATAAGGATCCTTTTTGGTATTTTTTTCACACCTTGGGTTACATTAACGAAGTGTTCATATGGATCCCTAACTTTTTTGAAAATATTCTATAGCCTATGTTCATCAGGGATAATGTAGGATTCTAATGGTAAGATAGTTTTTTAAATCGGTCCAGTAGTTTCGGAGACAATTCAATTCAAAACAAACAAACAAATCTTTCCTCTTTTTAATATTACAATGTAGAAAAATAAAAACTGGGGTTGCCCCCCTTTTGCAAGTGTGGCAACTATGGCAAATATGGGAGGCTTATGTTCAGCAGTGAATTTTAATAGGTTGTAACGCTAACAGTAAAAGTTAATTATTTTGAACCTTTTGAGTGGATTAAGGAATATCACAATCCTAATGCTGTCTCAATTGTTACATTATAAACTTCAATACTTATTTTACCACCCGTAGAGAATGAATTCCTCCTCCAAAATTAAAATAGAACCACCCTGAAGTACCTACTAAATTGAGAAAAATAATTAAAATCTTTTCACAATTAATACAATACAGGGTTATTTTTTAAAGAGTAGCCTAATTTTAAACTTAAGTTCAAATATATAAATAACAATATTCCGTTATTGCAGTTCTTGAAAATACGAGTAAATAAGGCTTCTACTTTTATTTAAAATTATCCCAAATTGAATGTGATTTATGGGTAACAACATTCTTGCCTACTGATTGACCCTTATGAATGTGTGTATGCAGTTAACCTATATTACTTATTCTGAATCTTATCTGCAAACTTGGCCAGTTATTGCAAAATAACCCTGTATAGATAATTGTTATTATCAATTATCATTTTATTTTATATTCATATATCATATATATTCATTGTAAATGCAACATGTCATTTTAAATACAGTGATTATGATGATGTACATTAAAGATTTTATTGAAAAATTTAAAGTTATAGGTATTATTTTGAGGTTACTGAAATAAGTTGTTATCCCTGCTTAATATAGTATATCCTGCTAATATTATAAAAGTGAAAGTTTGTGAGGATGTATGGATGTTTGTTACTGTTCCACGCAAAAACTACTGAATGTATTTTAAGGAAACTTTACAATAAGCTCTCAAAAGCTTATCCATCAGAACAACACATAGGCTATAATTAACAATGATATTGTTGTAAATTGATCAAAATATAACAATCAGTGTTAAGTCGGAAAAAATCTGTTATCTGCAAGCTATTTTGGCGTGCTGTGCAAAAACTGTAAGAGTTAATAACTAATTACGTAATAATATAACATATAATAGCTAATTACATAATAATTTAAGACAGAAGGATCCTTAAGTAGGGACTGAATAAATTAACCGACTTGGTATTACATGGATCTCACAACTTTTTACGGTAGAAGAACTGAGTTGCGAGACTTGGTTTTTTTACAAGTTATGTTTTTGATAGCATCTCATTTATTTTTGTAGATAGTTATATCTAGGTACCTATCTACACCTATTATTCCATTATATTATACAGCATATATAAATATACTGATTCATTCACTGCAAATGTATCTTTGTAATCCTATATATTTATATGGGATTACAAAGTTATTAATTCAGTTAGTGTATCTTGAAAACTGGACCGAAATTGCAAAATATTTTAATTTTTCCTTGATTTATATATTAAACAATAATTGTATTCTAAATTTGAAGTTTCTATGTCTGCTAGAAGTGCCTTAGAGTTTTGAAGATCGGTCAGTCAGTGAGTGACAAAATTAAAAAACTTTGACTACTTCTAATTCTTCAAATACTGGTTCAAATTTGATGAAATTTGAAATATACCGAGTTTATACAATGCCTACTTGGTTAATGAAAATTCAGGCTTCTAGTTTTATCCACAACAAAGTTATAGGGTTTCGAAAATGGCCTGAACTGCTACGAGAAAAGGATGGTACGGCCGTGCCGCTTTTTTGCTCGACTTGGCAGGGGCACTGCTGTGCCCCCAGATACAATAAATTTTGATAATTGATTTCCAATGCACATTTGGCAGTAGCAAATGGATTTTATCAAAATAAATACTTTAATCGCTTCTGATGTTAAAATTAGATAAACTTTGACTTTTAAACTACATAATTTGGTCAAATATTTTACAAGTAAAGACAAAATAAATCATGAACCACTTCTAACATAAGCATTTTAAGACCACCAGAAGTAGTTAAAGGGAATATTAATAATGTTTAATAGCATTACTAGTATTTAAAAAAAAATATTGATAAAATGCACTGCAATGCCCAACTGCCCTGAGTAATGTGGGGGCAACATCACTCATCGCCGTGTGAGCAAATGTACCTCTTTACGCTTAAACCGCTGAACCGATATTGATGAAATTTGGTATCGAGATAGTAAGTCCCAGGTAAGGTAATAGAATAGTTTTGATCACGGAAATCATCCCTAATGGGAGTAATGGAGTTTACTATGAAAGTGCAATTATTGATGGATCATGTATGGTTTAAAGTATAATACCTATGCTGATAAAGTCACGGGCAAAAGCTAGTTTACTATATATTCAAACTGTTTATCATAACTATTGTTTTATTGAAGTATATAAGTTATAATAATCATTTTCAATTTATTCTATAACCAATAAAGACAAAACAAACTGTTTCCCTAAGCAATCTTAGGAGCGAATATGAAGTGGCACATTTCTATCGACTAGCATTTGTATGTGGGCGAATGTCTCTGAAAGCCTACTTCAGCCAAGCCAAGACAGATTGTGCACTGTAAAGGTATAAGTAAGTTGATATTACCCAAAGAAAAGAGAAAATGGTTATTACTCTGAACACATGTATCATCCATCAGACATGTAGGTTTTATCATCTGGGTACGACTTTCCATTGACTCCCATCGAGTTGGGGGTTGATACGTATTTTTACAGAAAAGTTACACTATTATAAGCACACACACAAAGTTACAATATGCGAAAGGATTAAGCCCAAAAGAGCTTAGAATTTTCACCGATGGTTCTAAAACAAATGAAGGTGTAGGTTCTGGAGCTTTCTCTGAAGACCTCAATATTCACATATGCACACCGCTGGGTACCTATAACACGGTCTTTCAGGCGGAATGTATGGGTATCATTCAAGCGGCCATAGCAATAGATGCTAGGAAGGTTAATGACTTCCCCATCAAAATACTGACCGACAGTAGGGCGGTACTCCAAGCCCTGAGATGCAATGTGGTGAACTCGGGACTAATATATGAATGCCATAAACGATTAAATGAGGTATGTAAAAACAACAATGTGACCCTGCAATGGATAAAGGGACACAGTGGATCCAGAGGCAACGATGCAGCAGACGAACTGGCTAGAAGAGCTTTGGCCACTATAGGGCCGGAACCAATCATACCAATCCCCTTTGGTAACGTTCGTTCATTGGTACGTAGACACTTCACTAATCAACACGCTCAGCTTTGGAAAAATCTAGTAGACTGTAGACAAGCTAGGGATGCCCTGCCTGAAATTAACAGTCGCTTAACAAAAGTTTTAATGAGACTGAACAAGCCGCAGATTAGGATAGTAACAAGTGCTATCACAGGACACGGCACCTTTAACAAACATTTATTTACTATAGGTGTTACAGATAGTCCCCTGTGCAGGGCATGTATGGGGGAGGAAGAAACGGCGGCCCACGTGCTACTGAAATGTCCGGAGGTCGCTACATACAGGGCTAAACATCTCGGCACGCCGGGATCACTCCCCGAAGTTGCATGCAACATCAAGGGCCTGTTGAGCTTCTTCGGAGAGATCTCATGGCTCGAATAATTACATTATTCCTGCCCACACGCAAAATACGCGCATAGACGTGGAGTTGCGGAAAACAGCCCATCGTAAACTAAACTAAACTAAACTACAATATGCGGAAGCGTGTAATTTTTGAGAAAAAAGTTATTGAAAATCAATTATTCTTACATTCTTTATGTCTAATCCTAAAATAAAACTGACGCCATTTTTTAATTGTTATTGTAAGTAGGGATGTCGATTCTTTCCGAAAAATATCGATTTTTTTAAATAGATTCGAATTGTAAGGTGATATATCGATTCCCAAAAAATCGATTTCTAAAATATCTATATTTTTTTCATGTTTGCATTTATAATGTAAATATAAATCCATTTCAATGGAGTCAATGGAAAGCTAAGCCATCATCTGATATATCCAACTTGAATAGAGACATCATAGTTTGATTACAAGGAAAATGTAAGAAAATATTAAAAATAGCATATTTTTAAAAGCAAAGCAAATTAAAATATTGAACATATTTATCTTTTATAAATATAACACATGATCACATGACAATGAATTTGGCGATAAGCCAATTAAGGAATGGATATTTATTTAGTTAAGTATTAGAAATTATTTCAAATAGTTGCGTAATTTACACTTGAAAATGAAAAATCAGCTTTATATGACTAATGTTTACGTTACGTAATTTCTGTACGCACCACTGTTGATCCTACGGCGACCCCACCAGCAGTTGCAGCCATCTGCCCGAATAACGATGGCTGTTGAGGTTGAGCGTGTACGGGGCCTGGACTTGTTGGGGGAGCATGAGCAGGCACATTCCTTGTGGGTGGTGCAGCTCTGAAATTGAATTTGTAGAGGTTATATTATAAATTACGACTATAATTTAATCATTACGGGAATAATTCATTAATAGCCTTACTTACCGTCGTTGTGGAGCAGGTGGCGGACTTGCTGAACGTCCTCTTCGCGGCATTTTACAACAATAATTAGCTAAATAGAAATAAAAGAAATCTCTTCACAAAGTACTAATAAGAGGCTAAGAGCTTCGTTTTATGATATTGAAAATGTCACGAACGAAATGTCGGATTGAAGTTGAACTGACAACTGCTGAATTTTTCTGGAAATTTGATTATGGAATTAAAGCAGGGTTACCAACTTCTCCAAAAAGTACCCTAAAACAAGAAGATTACCCCGTATTCTAAAATGTTGACGAAATATTTCATAAACGTAATAATATTATATGATGTCTGCGTACTATTAACACACTCTTCTTCTTTGTATTACGTAACAGATACCTAGCGGGAAATATGTGAGCGAGCGAGCTATATAATAGGTGCAAATGGTCTGACCGATAACAAAGAATAGAACCTAGACTCGCAGACACCTAAGACTCACATACACGATGACTTTTTAACGACTTATCGCTTGGGTTGATAAGTCGTTAAAAAGTATTTTGACATAAGGAACTTAATAAAAGCGTACATTAAAATAAATGACACTCTGTGCCATACATCTTCTTTCTAATATTTTGTGATCAGATATTTTTATAGAATAATGATAGCAAACGAGCCCACAGTCCACCTGATGAATAGAATAGAATAGAATAGAATAATTTTTTATTCAATATAGATCACATGTGTAATTCTTGTTGAAAGTCATTTTTTACTTAACCACTGGTTCGACAAAAAACCTCTGTCCTGGGAAGAACCAGCAAGAAACCCAGTGGGGCTTTTTTTAAAGCAAATTTTACAATAATGGTTGTACAAACTATATAAGTACAAAATTTATTTTAGAAACAGCTTGGAAGCGATCAACTCATTCCCAGGGGTTATTATCAACCATGTATTCATTAATACTATAATAACCCTTTTTATAAAGTTTCAACTTAACAAAACATTTAAACTTGCTAATAGAGAGAGCCTGTACACTTTCCGGGACCTTGTTGTAATAGCGTATACATTGCTCCAAGAATGAATTACTCTGTGGAGTCGACAAACTGGCATCACTAGCTTGTGTTTGTTCCTAGTGTTTACAGAATGCACATCACTTTTTTACTAAAACTACCTTTGTGTGTTGTGAACATACATTAAATTTTCGTAAATATACTGATAGGCCAAAGTTAATATATTTATTTCTTTAAATGTATCTAAGAACTCTAAGAGACTCTCTCGGTTTTTGGTTGTAAATAGCTCTAATAGCCCTCTTCTGTAAAACAAAAATAGTTTCTGAATCAGCCGCATTTCCCCATAGCAAAATCCCATAAGGCATTATGCTATGGAAATAACTGAAATAAACTAATTTAGCTGTCTCGATACTAGTGAGACCTCTTATCTTTTTTACAGCATAGACTGCAGAACTTAGTCTGCTTGCTAGTTTGGATATATGGGGGCCCCACTGAAGCTTTGCGTCGAGAGTGATGCCAAGAAAAACAGTGGATTCAACAGGGTTCAGTTCTTCCCCATTTAAAAATACATTGGTAGATGGTAAGTAGATGCTGTGGCTGATAGACATCCACAACTATCCTTGATTAAGAATAATAATGCAAATGCTTTGTCACCCCTGAGTATTAAGATGGAATGACTCGTTTTCAGTAAAGGGGATCTCCTATTCTCCACACTCACCATACGAAACACAGCAACATTGATTTGCTATTTGTTATATATATCCCTAAATTAATTTAGGCCGCTGAAACCCAATCTGTATATTATCGCCCTAAATTTGAGCTACACTAACCGTACTGGTATCCCTAGGTTACAGACTATAACCATCCTTGTTTGTCATAATTATTTTAGCTTATGACCATGCGTAAGCATCTTATTAGTCTGTGCTTATGACCGATCAATAGATAAAACGCGTTCAGAAAATATAGTTCTGGATCCGATTTGTTTATAAAAAATGGACTTTTTATTCAAAATACGCTATGCATAATCAGTACAAAAACTATTCTTATAAACTGTGTTTTCAGATGGGTGTCTGAAAACATAGGTATCGGACAAAGAGATGTAAAATATATATATACTATAGAGCGAGCATTGGGAAAATTTATATACAAAAACTTTAAACTCGTGCGTGTGTGACGCCCTCTAGCTAAAAATAGCAAAACTACGCTATCATTTATTAAGACAACATTTTAGCTATTCCCCAGTAGGTGACACTTAAAATATAAGATCGTTTTAAGAATGTTACCCTTTCGATACCAAAGTATCGATAATGTTGTTGAAGGTTACTAAGTTTGAAATGCTTTAAAATATAATAATAGGGAATAAAATGATTGTTTCATTGTATAAATCTATTAACATGACTTCCATCACACGAAAAAAATCACTTTAACTTTTTATGCCACTTTAGAGACATGAAATAAAATATTAATTTCCAATAACTAAGAATCAATTCAAACAGCAGTCACTTTGGTTGCCGCCTTGGTGGCATCTTGGATGACGTCACTCGGTCCATTAGAAGCTATAATAATAGCATATGATTGGTCAATCGGCGTTGAAGACACATCAAGAAACACCAAATTCAATAAGGGAGCGCCTCTATGTTTTTAAATTAGTTTCTTTTACAAAAATACATTTCAAATCCAAAATATTTAGGAAAACACTGAATTTAAAAGCCGTTTCACGATAAATCATTTTATAAATTTATATTCATACACGATATTATAAATACGCTGGTATGTTATGTACCAATATTCTTCAAAGAGATTTATGCTCAACAACTACATTATAATCTGAAATCACGAACATGCACTAAGCAAGTGTTTTGATTAATGCTCGTCACTTCCCTGTATGTGAAGACTACTTTGCGCTACAGTAGGCTAATACAGGCTAGTATTATTATAAGAAATGAAATTATTCCTGTACTTTCAACGGTATTTATTTAGAAAAATGTTTAAATTGTTGTAAATCGAACTCATAACTAATACTCATAACAACTTGTATCATTTTAATTTATTTATTAAATTTTCACTGTGCACCATTGCGATATTATGTACTAGAGAGGCCTTGCGGTACATCATACCCGGTACGGTGTACGGTTGGATACTCACTGATGAGTCAACACCCGTCACGAAGAGTCGTGTTTTTATCTTTCGTTAATCGTTTCACTATTTAATTTCATTACTAACCACAGATTTTTTGGTGATTTTATACTGATCCTGCTTTTATATCTTTAAGTAATTATAGTGAAAAATAACCTGTTACAATGTAATAACAGTGAAAAATCACCTGCTACAGTGTAGGTAATAGATAATCTCTATTTTACTTATTCTACAATAACTCAGCTTCTAGATTGACAAATCTTTTCAGCTATTAATTGTTTATAAATACGCTTTAAATGGTACTTTCATCTTTAACATTTGGACCCAAGAAAGTATGGAGACGTCTTCTTCTCCTTTTATATTATTTTGTCAATTTCATCAGCTGCACTACATAAAAGACACTACCCACATCAATAAAAGTTGTTATTTTAAGTTTTTACCTTATTTTCTAACTCAGGCTTAACCTACAACTTCTTGAATCTAATATCTTTAACAGTACAATTTTTTTTAATGTCACAAGCCTATAACACTCTCCTATCACTGTAAGCCAGGATCTATAATGATTTTGTCCTTGAATACCACCAGACAATGAAACCCGGTATGTAAAAGAGAAGACTTGCTGTATTGCTAAACATCAACATAGCAAGTATCCTCAGCATGTTCATGAGCAACACAGAAAATCTCATCATCATGTCTAAAAAAAATTTCCCACCCTTCCACATAAAGTAGGCTACTTAGCATAGTTGGTATTTGCTACTTATTTTTGTTGGTATGGGTACTGTATCTTTGACTGTTTTACCTCCTTAAATATTGTAAATGATTAAATCGGCATCCTGTATATTATTTTTATCGAAAACCCCAATCGATAAACGTCGTCAATCACTAACTTTAAATAAATAGTAACGCTACAGGATAACAGAGGGCGCTCAGTACAATAAAAAATAAATGTTCTTGAACAATCTACTAGAAATAATAAAATTTAAAGATCATTCGGTAAATATACGTTATACTTACGATAACAAACCAAAATCACGTTCATTTTTTGCTCCATATCGTGACTTTATCTTAATGCACAACCGGGCATATTTTCTATAAAAATATTTTTTAAAGATATGAAAAGAATGCGTCTTGACTTTATGACGATGTCACTAAGACCAACGGAGATATATCCTATAGGACATAAGTTATAGACGACAATTTTGCTGTTGATGTCCGGTCTATTACTACTACTACTTAAATGTCTTTGGTATCGGAAAAGAAGGTATATTTACTCCTAGAGTGTAGATCTAGTGTAAATATATTAGAAATAGTAAGTATTACTTACCCACCTCTACTTTGATTTCGTGGCATTTTTAATAACTAACTAAATTCTACATTTTACAAACTGAAAACTGCATATAACAAACCTAAAACATAGTGTTAACTCTTTGATCAAACCATATTTTATGCTATGTCAAAACCAAAAATAAAAAATAATAATTATTCAACCAGTTATTGGCAAAAAAGTTTTTAATGGTATATTCTGCTACTAATACCACAAAAGCCTACCTGAAGTCCACCGCTTAAAATAGACATGCCCTCATAAATAGCTACAATGTACGGCCCTGAGATATCTGCATATATCGACAGCCTTCGTGTTTATTCAGGTCATCTCTATATCTAGTGGGCGGTCGCCAGGCAATGAAATTGGCAGTACGAGACTTTCTTTCCTATCAATCGTCGGTTCTCCGATCTATATGGACAGCCTATTGCTTACTGATCTGCTGAGTTATATCTAATTTACTGTTGTTCGTCTTCGAATATTCTCGTTACGATCTTTATCCCGCAGAGTAATTACTTAGGATGCTGAGTGAGTATGAGTGACTTGCTATTTTCGATTTCTACTTCCACTTCCAGACTACCCGAACATGCCGGTTTCCAAAAATTTATATTTA